TAGATATTTGTAGAATGCATATGTGTGTTTTTGTTGTCCTTACCCCGGCAGCTCTTCCCATCTCTTTGCAGCATCCCAGTCACACAGCTGCAGATGGGCCCAGCGGCCTTACTGGTGCAGATTTGCTCACAGCCTCCATTGTTCTCCTCACACCAGTCAGACTCTGAAAACACATCAGAAGCTAACCTACGGCTTTTTGTTTTTCCATATATTACTTAAACAATAAACTCTAAAGCGTGTATTTTACCCCATAAGCTATTTTCTATCTAAAACTATGCTCACCTCTTCTTCTTATGGGTCCAACAGACAGTATGTGCTCTTTATGGTCACTGTCCTCTGAGTACATTCTTCTCTTATGTGGACAGTTCTGCACACACAGTTCATTGATACGTCAACACCCAAACACACAGCAGGGCGCTTTCTGATTTTTATTGCTCTTCTTGATTTACTCACCACTTTGCAGGCGTTCGTCTCTGAGTCGCACAGAGAAACGTCACAGTGCAGGTGGACTTCATCGTAATCCCCGATGAACTTGAAGACGGTGACGTGAAAGCGGCAGGTGAGTGATACGCCGTTTTCTGCCATGCCAATGGTATTGTCCTTAATGTTTGGGCACCTAGAATAAAATGATATTAAATGTGCTGTAGTCAAGAAGGTGGTTGTGGGACTTGGGAGGCAGAACGGTCAACAAAAGGTGAGCTTTTAATATGGATAATGTCAACATCCAAACTAAACAAAGTCTTAAAAGGGAGTCCAAACACTGATCACAAATGCAAAGGCATGACAAAGACCCGAGCATGCGTGTATAACTAAGAAGTACCCGCAGGACCAGATAGATGACACAATGAAGACAAAGTAGAGGGCAGGACTATTTATACACATACATGACTAAGGAGATAACTCTTGAGTGTGTATAAATAGTCATGGAAGTAGTGTTTCTTGGAAACAGGTGAAAAGTCATACAGGAAAGATGCAAAACTAAAGTAGGAAAGGAACAACAACCATAACTGACGCAGGGAGGGTTTAGAGGACATGCTAAACCTGGATGAACTAATTCAAGGGGAACACAGAAAGACAAAGTTATTAATACAAAAAAGAGGGGAAGGAAGTAAAAGTAATGCAGGGTATAAACAGACACTCAGCCTTAAAAATGAAACAGGACGTGAACAAAAGACAAATACTAAT